TCACCGTCAGTACCAATCCGAATTCATTCTTTTCGAAAATCTGGCAAGGTGCTGGCGACTTTCCAAAAATTTCAGAGATATTAGACTTAAAGCGACGGCCGTCCTTAAGTTTACTTAGGAGTGGCCCCTTGAAAGTTTGAAGACAACTGGTACTATACTTTTGCGCTTTACCTTGCTATCTGTGACTCTGTAAGATGTGAAGTCATTTTTTCTTGGTCAGTCACAGTACAGTAGGGAGTACTTTGTCAAGAAGCGTAAAAAAGTCTCTGCAGTGCTTGCAGTGGCTCGGGGAAATTTGAAATCTCTCGTTGGTAAGCATTCTCGCCATTATTACCCAGGAACTTCTCTTGCCGTAAGTGAGCTTGTTGTTTATTTTTAGATTATGCCGGAACCCTGTTTTACTTTGGCATGGCTACTTCAAAGCCCAGTTTTTTTTTTTCACTTTGAATTTTTTTTGACTGCAAAAACATTGTATAAACCTATGGTGAATGGGTAGATATTTTGAATTTTTTAGTTCTTGTTCAAAAGTTTAAATTTTTACTGACTACACGCATTCTACACTTGACTTCGCTGTTTCTTATATTTATTCTTCAGATTTTTTTTTACTTTCTAGTTTTAAAACGGATTAAGGAAAGTTAGAGGGTAATGGTTTGGTTGGAAAATGAAAGATACTCTCATTAGTTGCATTGCAACTTTGGTTTTCATAAATTAACCTACCACTACGGAAAGATCTAGGTAGGACCGAACTTGAAAGGTGAAGCTTAGGAAAACGTTACAGAAGCACTGCTTTGAACCTGTGCCACAAGTATGGAGCACGCTAGGCCTTGAGGAATCGAAGGCAACTGAAAGTTGAGTATATAAAAAATTAGAGATCAAAGATGACATGGAGAAAATTTCCTGAAATTATGCTACCTGATTTTGAAGTGCCCGAGAAATCTGAAAGCGAAAAATAGAAATAAATTATCATAAAGGAAGTCATACTTTGGTGTGGGCATTCTAAAGTCGAACAGCGTCCGTTTGCATTCACTCAGCATTTCTAATATTGCAATTGTTCGTCTTAGCATTCCATGAGCGACAGTAAAAGCTTGTTCATTTGATTCGCGTTTTTCAGAAAATGGAAGCATCAAAGACTTTTGTAGATTCTAAGGCAAGACAGTATATGGTGCTGCAAACAGAAATGGTTCGTTTGAAACGCGAAGAAAAGGCGTTGATACAGTTTTATGAGAAACTGACTGGTATGTTGCTTCATGCACTTTACTGCACCACTATTTATTAGTATTTTAACTCGAAATTTCCGCTATCTCAGTTCTGCTTTGACGGCTTGAAAGTTTCTTACAGAAATTAAATTTTTTCTGTTCAGTGTACAAAAGATTATTAACTGGTTTTTTATTTTTTATTTATTTCACCTAATTTTTCTGCTTTGTCACTTCTGTGGATTGGTAAAGCCGGGTTATATGGGTGGTAGTGTAGTTTATATAGTATTAGCACTGAATTCATTTGACGAGAGTACTTTTCAAAGCTGTTTTGAAGCAAAACAACGTATTTTTATTTGTATTGCACGACTTGGATTGTTATAAGTCGTTAAGCGTATTGGAAAAATTTAGCTTCGTTTCAGGCAAACCTCACTTAAAGTGATATAGACTTATACGTTTGCGTTAAAGCTAGGAATTTCCTTAGTGTAAATTATAATTTTAGAAATTTTTAAGCCTGTTGGGTTCAGCGAGAAGCCTTTGCAAGAATGTGACTAAACTTGCTATTCTTAGTAATGGAATTTAACCTTACTTTGAGCTTTTAAACAAGTCGATTTTTTTCACTGAGATAAATGACGGTGGAAGTTATGAGAGGATTTCTGAGCGTGGTTTTCTTAATAAGCAATGCGAGATTTTTTTTACGCCGTCTGCGTTTGATTTAGCCTTTGTGATTGCGTATCGACAAATTACTTGATTCGGTATGTTCGAATATTTTTAGTAAAGAATTATCCTCTTTAAATCGAAATTTTTTTCAGATTTGACATTCGTTTTCTGTTTCAGCTCAAAGTTCGGCCCTTAAATTAGAGGCTATTCGGCTTAAAGCGCTGCTGAAAAAAGCTACTCAAAGTCCTCAGGAATAAATAACTGTGGCAGTTATCTGTACATATGTTAGAGACAGTTTATTTTTGTTCGTAATCAATGTTGCTGTGGCTGAAATTTAAAAAAGTGAACAGTTTTACTGTTGACTATTCTTACAGTTATGAAGTTTACTGTTTATTATGGTTCTTGACATGTTTTTAATCTTTACTGTAGAAATTCTTCACTTCACTCACAGATTCTTACCGAATGTTTGTAGCGGTTATCTTTCAGAAGATGTGATTAGTATAAACGGAGATTTTTAGAGCAAGGTTTTAAAAATATCAGTAGTTTCTTTTATATAAACTACACTTTTATTCAATAAAGCATTATGCTTGTTCTATTATATAAGAACATTGTACTTTAGTACTCTATCTACGTTTATATTAAGGGATTTCGATCACCTTGTATGATACCCCCCGCAACATTTTTTGTCTTTTTGTGAAAAGACGAAAATTCATCACCTTCAAGAGTAATTCGTTCTGCTTGACGAAACCCCGCTAGAAGTATTGTTACTGATCTTTCTCTTGATTTCTGCTTATTGAACTCTGAGGGAGATTTCAGTCAGCGAAAGCTCTAATTGTGTTTGCCAAAAATGTTTGCCAGCATTTTCATTTCAGTATTAATCCTCATGTTCCGGTCCTCGACCCTTGTTCTACTGAAATCCAAATTAACAGCACGATTCGTTTTGATGCATCTTTACAGTACACTGGGAGCAGCGTCTGATTTGATTTTGACTGATAGGTGTGTTCGACGGCTGAAGGAAGTGGCAGAACGGGGTGAATGTCTAAGAGTATTAGTTGATGGTGGCGGGTGTTCCGGATTTGAATACAAAGTGGAGTTTGACACGAAAGAGAATGATGATGATTACGTTTTCGAGAAAAACGGAGTGAAAGTTTTGGTGGATAAAGTAATCATTGACTTTTTTATGAGGCTATCTTAGATGCCTGCGTTTGGTATAGGTATTTAAATGGGCGTATGGGATCCAAGCATTTTTATGTTCAGTAGGATAGTGAAATTTTTGGTCTGACTGCCAAATTCTTTGTGGTGGCAGGCTGCTTTTTCCTTGTTGATGTGATCGTTTATGGTTTTTTCTTTCAGTTATCTCTCGAGTATATGAAAGGTTCAACATTGGATTATACTGAAGATCTTATGAGAGCAGCTTTTAGGATTGTTAAGAACCCGATTGCAACGAAAAGTTGTTCTTGTGGGTCGTCCTTTGCTGTGAAGTTAGATTGAAATTTCTTCTTTATTAACGTGTTTAGATATTTTCTTGTAGAAGGGCCAGTTTCTGAAGTTTATTTAGAGATATCACTTGAGCTTTTTGGATATTACTTTCATTTTAATTACTTTTCCCTGAGCTTTGAGCTCTTTGGTAAAGTTTGACTTACCTAAATCAAAGGCCCAATGATGTTAATGTGTCAAACTGTAGCATATCTGGAATTCCCGCAGTTGTATCGTCAGAGTTTGAAGAAACCAATTTATTATAATGTGTAGGCATTTTAAGTCTTAGTCGCTGGCGACAGGCTAGCTGGATGACTCCATTTGTTGCATAAAATTTCATTTTATTTGGTTCGTAGAACTGTAATATAGGTAATTATTTTCTAAATGAGTCTTCTTCTATCCAAACTTAGATGAATTCTTTTTGTTTTGTTGTTTTGGAATTGATGTTTATGTTATAACTGCTACTGTACGTGTACAGTTGTTTTAAAGCGCTTAATTTCGTGTTTACTGCAGAATCATTGTTAATCATGAATTTTACGTAAGCTCCTGGACTTTTAATAAGAGTCAGTTGGTCGACTTTAAGTTCTATGGTTCTTCCAATCGCAATGTGATTATGTAAATATAAGCTACGTACAACTGGCTTGAATACTATACTTCTTTTGATGCAGTTGGAGACGCTTGCGTATCCTCTGTTGTTGAGCATTATTTTTCTGCCCGTTACTTTGGTAAAAGGATCATACGTTAATAAGTACTCCTGGAGGCGCTGTTTTCTGCAACAGTAATAGATGTAATTGTTGCTTCCTGATTTTTAAGAAAAATGGTAGAAACCGATTTCAAATGAAAGAAAGCTTCTCTTGGATACTGCCACAAGAGAACGCAAGAGCGGGTTTCATTTCGTCTTGAGTAAATTTAAAAGCCTCTAATTTTCAGCATGGTTACGATTTTGAGCCAGAAGTGATCTCATACTATATAGCACAGTTAATTGAATTTGTATAACAATAGTTTTTTAGAAAAGAGGTACGTGTATATGATTGAGACTGCAACTTGACATTACTTGCATTTGTTAGTTGCGTCATCAGATTACCGGATGACTCTCTTTTAACTGCGGCTTACACTTTTATTTTGAGGCAGATGCTGAAGAGCCTTGAAGTTAAAGGGTTATTTCCAAGCCTTCGTCCTCTATTTTGTAGTTCAGCATCTTTGGACTTAGTAATCAAACGGTCCACGGACTGGAAGTGGAAGAGAAGGACTAGCAGCAGTTCGTGGCGATGGGCGAAATTTAGTTCAGGGCCTATTTTAGGGTTTTCGTTGGTTACTACTATCAAGGACTTGTTAGGCCAAAAGCCTTTTGTACTGGATGAATCGGAAATAAAAGACAAAGTCAAGAAAGTAATTTTCAAATATCTTTCAAATACAATGGTTGAAATAATCTTATTCTGTTCTTACAAATGTCGATGCTGTTTTCAACTTTTTTTAAAGGCATGGCTTGCTAGAAGAAATCGGCGTTATGAAGAGGCTGTGCAGTTGCTTCACGAAGCCCTCCGACTTGCTATTGACAGTGGTGAACAGCTTCCTATAAGCCGTGTATACGATGAGATGGCAAACACGTACTACGAAATGGGGTCTCTCGATGAAGCAGAAAAGTGTTTTCGTCTTTTAATTCATAGGTAACATCAGAAAATTCAAACGGCAGTGACCATCTTCTCTTGCTTCCTTGTCTTATTGTCAGTTATTTTTTACTATTAATTTTTTTGAAATTAGTTTGTTTTGTTCAGTGATAACTTTTGAGGTTGATGGACTTACACGGAAAAAAGGAGAGTTCACCAGAATTTATAGAAGTCAGTCTTAAACTGTCTGATATATTTGCTCAAAAAGGAGATTTAGAGGGTGCGGAAGCTGGTTATATGCACTGTGTTACGAGACAAACAAAGGTAATTTTATCTAGCTCGTTTCTTCATCTTGTGTTATCAACTTCTTGAGAGCCTCATTTTTCTTTTCCGAGGACGTTTGTCATGCAAGTTGTTGAACTTGTAGTTTTATATATTTCTGGATGAGACGTTTTTTTACAAATGTTGGCTAACAAGTGTCACTTGTTTTTTCATTGTTTTTTTTAAGGTTTTAGAAAAGCATCTTAGCAAGTTCTTAGTATCTCATGGCGCAAGAATCGCAGGTGAGCATCCTGTGGAAATGCATGGTGAAGTATACACCGACCCCATAGCTCTTTTTGGCATGTGCTTAGAGCGATATGCGTTTTTTTTGGTTTGAATTTTCTTCATTGTTATGATGACTATAACACGTTCAGTTTATTCTTTTGTTTGCTACAGAATCTCTTCAGTTTATTAAGGCAGACTATTTTATCAGCTATTTGATTAAAATTTCGCTTTTGGTCTGTGAAGCAACACTTTTTAAGGTGAAGTACCGTGATTCTTCAAGGCTTGAAGAGAGCCAAGAGTGTTTTAATGAAGCTCTAAAGGTAAATTAATTTTGTATTTTGATTAAGTTTTGGCTCGCAAACACTCACTATGCATTATTTAGTGTGAATTGAGGAATTTGTATTGGATTTGTTCAAAATTCATTGTTCATAGATATTTTCAGGTTTCCCATCAACTTTTTGGATCTGTTTCTTTTCATATAGTAAACTTGCTTAATAATTATGGGATTGAATTATTGGCGGCTAAGCAGTATGTTTTTGTTTTTAGGTTTTATTAAAATAGATGTTACAAATGAAAAGCGCCTGCATTTTCAAGTTTAAAATTTTGGCTTTTATTTAGATTCGAGCTTGCAAAGAAGTATCTGTCCCTTGGTATTCATAAGGTTGTCTTAGTTAACGAATGTAGCCCGATTATCTCTGGATATTATTGCAACTATGCAGAAGCTCTTTTTCACTGCGGAGAAATGTACGAATGTTCAGATTTTATTAACTAAACATAGATGTTTTCTGTAATTAGTTTAGTTTAGGGAATGATGAGGTGCACACCAGGTTTAGTAAAGTTAATTTATACTGTACAGTTAGCTATGTTTTAGCGGTATAAGGCAAAACAAAAACTAATTTTTAAAGTAACTCATGAAAACTGCATGAAGGCATCATTTATTTTTGTCTACAATTTCTCTTTTTTGCATATGCGACTTTCTGATGATTCCCATTCACTTAGCTTAAGTCCCTGGAAATTTTGTTTGACTTTTGCTTTGCGGGCCCAACATTGAATGACGTTCTTTTTGAGCAGTCTGGCTAAAGTGGAAAAGCAAAAGATATGTCATAAACTTTTGTTCAGTGCGCTGAAGATTTGTTTCAAAACTCTGCAATCCTTTTAAGATTCTGAGGGTAAATTAAGCCTTTCTGAAAAACTACCTTATTTTGTGTGGGCTCCCCTTCTCGCAAATGACCGTATAAACCAATAGGTTGTTGCTTCTAAATGCTTTGAAACCAAAAGGCGCTAGCGTATCTGCCTGATTCAAAAAACGCTGTAGTGGTAGGTGTACACAAATGAGTGCATTGCGGGTGTGAGCTTCACCTTAATTCTAACCTTCCCTTTTTAGTTTTGGTATATAATGAACCTCCTTTGCTCAGTATTTTATGTCACCTCTAAGTGGTATACTTTCTGATTTTCTTCTTAGAGATGAAGCCGTAGATTACGCCAGGCGAGCTTTAACCCTTATACCACCTGACGACGAGCGGATGCGTAACTATGTAAAGAAGTTTGTGCGTGATCTCGAGGTTGATGCGAGACGAGCAAAACGTCAAAAAAAATAGTGAGAGTATTTTTCTAATTTTATTGTTTAGTCATTTTTTCTTTGGTAGATACAGCAAGCGAGTGTCGAGAAATTTGTGTTGTCTAACTTTTTACGTAGGTTAAAACTTCTTTCAGTGGGAAGACTTGTGTCTTACTCATTTAATACTTGTCAGTCGTCTAAAACGTGATACCTCAGTACATTGATCGCTGTATGTACTGAAAAGGTTTAAAGGCGGTAGTTTATTGTACTATGGACTGGTTAAAATTTGTTATGTTGTTAGAACCTTTAGTTGTATATCATTTGATGTAGAAATAGTTTTGACAGAGCCTTTAGAAATTTAAGTTGTAAAAGAAAAAAAGTTTTTTTAGCGCTTGGTCGATGATGTTTAGCAGTGGTGTAAGTGTTTTTTAATTACTTGTTTAGTTGTTGATATCAATTTTGCTTGTTTTGTAAGCTTAAGTTGTTTGAGCGGTTTACTGGCGTAATTAATTGTTGAAGGCTGCCGTTCTGTGACTCGTAACTTTTTCCGATTTTGCCGGTCTAGTCAGCATTACGGATTTTAATTTTACGTCGTTCTGATCAGTAGCTTTTTGAACATTGTTTTTTGTTATTTGCTGATGGATGTAGAATTTCTATAGAAGTACTGCATGAAGAAGATACTGTTTTCGCATTAATTCCTACTACAGTTTATTAGTCTGATTATACTTGAAATTTAGACTCGAAAATGCTTAATCATTGAACTTACTTAGGTGTTCGTATAGCTTTTTTGACATACCGAAGGAGATTTGGGATAATCCTTTGAAGTTTGTGTTGGTCATTAAAGTTGTACAAAAACTGTAGCTTGAAATTTCTGAGGAATAACGGTTTGATACATCGGCAGTTATTGACACTGCAGATCTTTGTACATAAAAACATTATTTATTTTTTTATGAGAGGTAGGTAATAGCTAAATCTTCAACTCCTTGAGGGTCATATTAAATTGCTTGTTGCAAAACTTCTGCACTATTAAAATTTGTGGCAGAAATATCTATTAGAAAGGGAAAACGTGTTTGGATAGTTGGCTGCGTCGTTTCAGAGTATCAAGCACTACAATTTTGTTTCTGATTGCGCTGTAGTAGCCAATATGAACCATTAAGTTTGTGTCAGTCATTCGGCCTTCAAATGGTGAAGCATCTAGCAAGTCGTCTTTTGGCAGACCGTTTGTCTTTAAATTTTTGAAATAGTGCAACATTTTTGGCAAGCTGAAGGTCCGGTACAATACAGCTACTGTGCAGCATGACTCAGGGGCCACTAGGTAAGCTGAATTCGTTATTGAATAACGGATGTCAGCAAAAAACTGAAAAGTGATGTTTAGTTAATAATCACCGTGTGTTGCTAATTTAAAGTACACTGCAAATTGGTATTTTAGATTCAAGATTGACCGGAAACATTGCTTTTGGTGAGTAAAGTGTTTAGGGTTTTTTTTCATTTTTACTTGAAGAGTTTCAACTTCAAAGTTGAAATGATGCTCAAGTACTTACTTGAAAGGTCAGGTGAATGTTGATATGATATGCCAAAAAGGCGGCAACAATGAAGAAAAAAGGCAGCGTATAGCGAAAGTGAAGCGCTCGAACAAGAAGAGCTGCAAGCGAAACAGAAACAGAGGCCAACTGAAATCAGAAATACTAACCAGGTTTGCTAAAAAAACAAGTTTGCATTAAGGTTGAAAATTTGGGGAGGATCGGTGGAACTAAAGATTTTTTGTACGTTTTGATCCAGGGTCCAGTAGTTCAAGATTATAATGTTCTATCATTTGTTTGCCGTTGGTTTAGTTTTGTTTTTGTAAGTGGTAATTGGTAAAACCGAGGATTTTGGTGAGGTTAGAATATGAATTTCGAGCGACACTAGTCAGGAATTAAAAAGATTTCAAGGTTGAAACCTGAAAGTAGTACGGTATGCCTCTGAGATGTACTGGGTGGAAAAGCTTTACATAGTCAATATTCGTTTTGCGATTCATTTGCTTAATTACCGAGGTTACAAGAGGAATAAAATCGGGTATTACCGCTGCATCATCCTCAACCAACATTAAATAGCTGAAAACAGCAATTTAAGATGACAGTTAATTTGGATCTATAAATATTGATGAAACGAAAATGTACATGTACAGAAGAATCCATTTTTTTAGAACTACTTAGCAGCTGTAAGAAGTGTGACGTTGCTGCTAAAGTGAAGCATTAGAATTTTACTTCTTGATGCTTAATGAACTATCGATTTGCAGATGTTAAAAACCTCAAACATTTTTTTTAGTTTTAGCATATCTGAAAAATTTTTACAAATCAATCGTAGCTTATTTCATCATTATTTTCATATTTCGTGAACGGTCTTTTTTTCGAACAGTTAAGGACTGTGTGATTAATTATTAGTACACAACCTATCGACCTCTCCTTACAACGGTTATGGCAAAAAGTTTTTACAATATTTTTTGCAGGAGTAAAAAATTGTTTAAAAAAATGAGAAATTTTTAGGATTTTAGTCACAAGCTGTTTCTTCGAGTGCGAAGGGGAAAGGAAAGCATAAAATTACTTTAAAATTATCAGCAGTCTACATTTCTTCCTCTCAATACCAAAAGGTACTTAAGTGTTGTCTTCAACAGTTTTGTACCAGTAATTAGGCATTCTTCAAAATTTGGAAGTTTTTTGCTTATCTTTTTTGTAATAGATTATTTTGGAAATTTCTTTAGTGTCCAGGTAACCAAAAAAATTTAGCCTGTCCATATGTAATATTACATTTTTGATATTTTTTTAAAATTTTAAAGACTTAAGAGAAAATGACGCTAATTTTGATTAAATTCAGACATTATATCACTCGCGAAACTACACCGTGCAAAAATCTAAAAAAACCGCATAATTTTGAATTCGTTATGTTTTGTTATGCGTAAGGTATTTTTTGCAACATTTTAGTGCTTTTTAACAGATCTAAAGATGTTAGCTGTAACAACGTTCCCGCTAACTGCTTCTGAAAAACGGATATTCTCAACTTCTCTAACGATAATACAAATTTTAGAAAATCGCTTTTGAGTGGTTGATAGAGATGAAATTTTTTTGTTAATTCACTTCAGTTTCAGCTAAAATTACAACAGCTTTTCAGCAAAATATTCGAATTATTTGTACAGCAAACAGTTTCGCAAAAAGTTAGTTTTTCCAAAAAACTAAATAAATTTTTCCTGAGTAAACAGCTGCGTTCTTTCAAATTCCTTATACTTTTTTTGAGTGTGAATCCTTGAAAAATTTTTTGTAAGTTTGATAAAAGGTCCTATGAAAAAAACTGGAAATTTTCTACATTTTTTTTGATCAAAAGCAACTGAAACTAATAAAATAAATTATTAATAAGTATAGTAGTCAAAAAAAGCTAAATTTTCTCATTATACCTTTGGGCTGAACATTGATTTATAAACGGCTTTTTTTTAAATAAGAATGCTTTTACAATTTTAAAGTTGTATGTTGCTTTTGAGTGAAATTTAGCAAGAGGCTGAAGCCGAAAACCACCAAAATGTATGGTTTCATGGGATGAAACAATTCAGCTGCAAATGCGAAGTCTGCTGCAATTTTGATATGCCTAACTGCAACCGATTATTTCATTTGGTCTCTTTTATAACCAGCCAAAAAACAGAAGCTTAGAACTGAAGCTAGGATTCTGTTCTGTCGAAATTAACAAACCTTTCCTTATTGTAATGACTTAAGCAGAACAAATAATCGTTGAATTCTTTAACAATATTGGCACTGTAGGTACCTTTAGATGGTGCTATCTGTCGATCAGTGTAAATTGCCGGTACCTAAATGGAGTTTACTGTTGTTTGCATAAATTTTTCTCAAATTTTATTGAGCTTTTTAGACAGTGAAAAATATTCAACTGTTTTTTTTTTTTTTTGTTTTTTAGATGGAATTAATATAAAGTTGAAGGAAGACTAAACGTCTGTTGGTTTGAAGTAGTAATAAAGTTTGTCAGACAACAGTAACTGATCACTTTACGGCAAAAAAAAAAGAGGAGAAGAAAAAAACACACACATAATTGATTAGATGATCTGATTCTGGATTTTCTTCGCCGGAAACATCGCATATAACAGTGTTAACGTCAACTGTTGTTACATTTAAAAATGCCTTCAAAATGCTGACAACCGTTTGCGTCAACAGTTTTTCGTTTCGTTTTGTTGCAACAATATTGATACGCAGTGTTGCATCGTTGCCTAACGACTACAAGTGAAAATAAATAGATGAATATATATATATATATATATATATATATATAT